AACAGGATTATAGAATTTTAAGGTTGAAAAAGGTCTCAACAAAGGCACTAAGTATAGTGCCCCATCTCCTTTCCCTCTGATACCTGAGTATTATGGAAAATACAAATTGGACCAGACAAATAAAGACCACCTATCTCAGATATACTATGATTCTACTAAAGGAATTTGGCCTTGACTGGGCCTTTCTCACTTTAAACCTTTTCCTAAGTTCTACGGTGTTAATTACCCTAATCAAGGGGTCATCTCTCTTGACTATTTAAGTTTTGAAGTCATTAAATATTATAACTGTTACTAACCAACGAATCATCATATTTTGCGACAGCCTTCTGCCAGGCTACCACCAACCAGTATTACAAGTCACTTTATGAGTTTCCAGTTAGATGATACAAATTATTTGAAGTGCGTCAGGGACCTTATTCATATTCAGACACTACATTTCAAAAATCTAAGACAACACTGATGGCAAGATGAAGCATTATTTTATCTGCCACTGAGAAGAAATTGAAGTCAATTTAGCTATAACTTCCTTTTCACTTAGAATTTTTAATTTATACACATCCAGAGAGTTCTTTAAAGTTTATGTAGACATAGGTTTTTATCTTATACCATTGTTGTGCATATATAAAAAATAACTGAAATAAACTGGTTAAAGTACTCCTGAAACGGCTTTATATTCAGAGCCCAACTCCTTTTCATCATGTTTTGACTCAGCATGCTATCTTAGTTTTTTCACACAAACTCATCCTCTGCACACTAAGACCACCAGAGGTACAGCACTTATCAAATGCACCATACTTGCTGTTTCCAGGAATTTCATCTAAGGCACAGACATCCATTCCGCAAACTGAACTCATACTTTGCTTTCTTTCCTCAATCACATTGCATGTGCTGAAAGATAAGCAGTTTCTGTTCAAAGACAGCAAGAAGTGTCTGAAAAACTGACACATAATACCTTAGCATTAGTTCTTTGCAACACGTAAATCAGTTACGCTGATTGTTATTGCTTTGAAATTTCTTCCATCTATTCCAAGGGATTTGGCCATTTCTCCTGCTTTCAGTCAGTCATGTAAGAAATAGGTAATCCTTTGCACACAGCTCATTCATAAAATGCAACACGTTATGTGTGGGTATTTTTCTTTCCTAGGTCCTATAAGGTACTTGATTGCTTTTCAAGAAAATACAGAATTGTGGTCATTCATTCAATGATGAACGCTATCTGACTAACTTGAAATTTATACCCTGCTGCTCTGTTTCTGTGCTTTTCTTCATACAAAATAAATTTTTTGTTTCATTATCTCATTGACAACATTATTATTAATAAATGACCAACTAATGTAATTCCAACAAATAATCCATGTAACCCAACGGAAGTGAGGACCCTATGAAGAGCCGGGATGCACACCCACTGGCAAGTACGTCATGAATACAACATACTGTCAGCAATTGAAAGATACTGCTGACTATACGACACACCACAATTTTGATATTAAAATATAAAACAGAAAATGTATGTCTTAAAATCAATATAATTAGGGCTGTTAAACCACTTCTAAAAGTCTAGCCATAAATTCCTGAATTTTCCAGTATTACTGAAGAAAACTGAATTGATTTGTTTTATGAAGGTATAATAACCATATATTTATCAAATATTCTCATATCTACCATCTCATTTCATCTTCCAAACAGATCTTAGACGTAAGATATTTTTATGTGCTTTTCAAAGATATATGGAAACATTTCAAAAGACTGAATCCAAAATCACCCAGCAGAACTTAACCCCAAAGCTACTAAACTCAAAACTTTTCCAGCTATACCAGAGCTGCTTCCTACTGCACACTTACTCTTCAACAATCTACTCTTGAATCAGTTGCCAAGTGGTCTGTCCTGATATCAAACCAATACCACTATTAAAGGCTCACTTCTTTCCCACTTTCCCATTAGCCTTAGTTTCTAGGTCTTAAACAAGGAACAGACTCTACCTTTTTAAACTTAAAGATCTTAGACTGACAAAATAGAACAAATAAAAAGGGGACATAAAAAAAGAACCCAGACAAAATTAAAAATTTAAAGATTAACATATTTAATATTTACAATGTGTATAACACTTCCTATTCATATTTCAGTCATGAGTACTAGGAGAAGACACTGCCCACTTTCTCAAGCCAAGCCCAATAAAACCTTACATACCATCACTGAAGCTAAGCTTCCAAAGAGTGCAAGCAAACTCAATTTTTTCTTGTTAAAATTGCGATTAGAAACAACTCAAATGTCCATCAACTAATAAAGGAGTAAATAAAACATATATCCATACAATGGAATATTATTTGACAGTAAAAAGAAATATAGTACTGAAACATGACACAACATGGATGAACTACACTAAGTGAAAGAAGCCAGTCACAAAAAATCACATACTGTATGATTTCATTTATATAAAATGTTTAGAATAGGCAAACCTATAGAGACAGAAAGTAGATTAGTGGTTGTCTAGGGCTTGGGGCAAGAGGTTTGGGGGGAAATAGGGACAGCTAATGGGCACAGGGTGTCTTTTTGGGGTGATAAAAATGTTCTAAAATTGTGGTCATGGTTGTTCAACTCTGTGAATATATTAAAAACCATTGAATTATACTCTTAAATGGGTGAACTGTGTGATGTGTGAACTGTTATCTCAATAAAGCTGTTAAAAATTTGTAATTTTTAGGTAATTTCACTGAGTCATAAGTGTGTGCATGTTTGTGTTTGTGTGTGCACAGACATATACACATATATAACTAATTGTAATGTGAAAGAGTATAAGAGCTTAATATATGTATATTTTTTTGAGACAGAGTCTCGCTCTGTTGTCCAGGCTAGAGTGCAGTGGTATAGCTGCAGCTCACGGCAACCTTGAACTCCTGGGCTGAAGCAATCCTCCTGCCTTAGCATCCCAAGTACCTAGAACTATAGGTGCATACCATCATGCCCAGCCAATATTTAAAAATTTTGTGTAGAGACAGGTTCTTGTTATGCTGCCCAGGCTGGTCTCGAACTCCTGGCCTCAAACTCCTGGCCTCAAGTGATCCTCCTGCCTTAGCATCCCAAAGCTGGGATTATAGGCGTGAGCCACCACACCCAGCCCAAGAGCTTAAATTCTTTTAAAATTCTTTAATGGTTTGATCCCTGCTAAACTGCCGCATCTAGAATAGTGCCTGGCACACAATACATGCTTGCTGAGTGGATGAGTGCAAAAGCATAATGTCAAGCCCTGTTATGAACAGAGTATAAAGGGTAATCTAGCATCACTATGCTTATTTTGAGTTCCTAACAAAAGTTTCATCTCAAATATTGCGTGAGAATAACCCTATATGACCTTACCAAAAGGAAAGCATTAAGGATGGACAAAGAAACTGTCTGATAATATTACCCAGGATCTTGGTCAGCAGAAAGGAAATAATGAGAAGGGGCCACTCCCCTAATGAAGTGGCAGCAGGAACAATGTGTGACTGGGGATAAGTGTCAAGGCACTTTTCTACTCTTTCACTGAGTGATGAGTTACTGAAGCAATGGCATTTTCCTTTTTAACAGTCCTCTCATAGGTCAGTGATGCGAGTAAGTCTGAATGAGGCCAGGACTCCATCAAAGTCACCCTATTTCCCACACTCCCACCACCGGGTAAACACACATCTGACTGCCATGTGTTTCCCCTTTCAGTTTCTTCCCCTCCCACTCCAAGCTCACAAAATGTCCCAATTCACTCTGGCATTCCGAAACATTCAGGCATCCAGTGACTAAGGTTAAAACCTAACTGTTATTCCCTCTGACTCTGATTTTTGTCCATTTTCAACCTGTATTCCTAGAAGATTTGTGCTTACAAAGAAATACTGCCCACTGAACACACAGGAAGGGCCTGATCTAGAATAACAACTTGGGTTACTAAGTGTTTTTCCCTCAGTCAACTAGGGACCTTTTTTGACCTTGAAAACCTTTGGGATAAGGTGGGAAGATTTCCCCTTCCTAATACTTGATTCTGAGTAATTTGAAATTGTTTCCCAGCATTCCTACGAAAGCAAAGGGTCTTTGGGGATATTCTTCTTATGAAAAAATTCCTTCTTAATTTGATTCTACAGATTAGACATAATCTATCATTCTAAGAGCATTGCTAACAATTTTTAAATGAACTAATATTAAAGATTAAGTAATTCCCAAGACACATTCACATATACTGCTGATAGTATTTTAAATTGTTATAATTCATTCAGAAAGTGGCAACACGACCACCTATCTGGGTCAAAATGATGATAAAGATAAAAAAAAATAACTTAATAGAAGCAAAAGGAAGAGCTTTACAACAATGGTACATAAATAAAACACCGGGAAAATGTAGCGATCTAACAAAAACTAAAGAATCTGGTCAATTACGATATACAAACATAAGAGAATATTGCACCCATTAAAAATAACAGTTATAAACATGAGGTAGAAATATAACATTTATAAGTGAAACACCAGAATATAAAATGGTGTGTATGTCTGTGTGTGTATACATACACAAATAAAATGAACACCTTTTGAAAAATATCTTTCAAGATGAATCACTATCAAAGCTCTGGTTTTTAAAGCTTCCCCTATTTACTCAATTAAATTTTTTTGCTTTACTCTCCCATGTACCATGTGTTTCTGATTATCTTTGTTTTCCAATATAGTTGTCTTTAATTCCCTCATTCATTGTCTTGACAAAATTTCACTGCCTATCATGCTTCCTTGTCCAATTCTAGAAAAAAAAATATATATAAAGGCAATAGAGTGGAAAACAAAGTCACTGTATGTTTGCTGCACTACCCTCCTGAATGCTGCCTTGCTATCACTGTGAAGATTACACAGCAGTTAAGGAGGGTTGTAATGGAAGAAGACTGACAAACTGCACTACGCCTCAAAGTTATTTTCTAATTATTTCTGCCTATCTATCTATGTGTGCATAGGAAATAGATATTTAAGATAATTTACTATGACATGTTTCTTACCTATTGCATGAATCTGATTCTGGTGAAGAAGGCACTTCTTGGATATCAGTAGAACTAGAAGAATCATCTGGTCTATCAGACTCCAATTTTCCTGAGGAACACAGCTGTGACTTAGGGAAGTAGTCTGTTACTGAGGTCATATCTGAGAACTTCATTTTATTATCTTCCTTTCCTAAATAGGAAAAAGAAATTAAAAAAAGAAAAGAAAAATTTAAGAGTACCTTAAAATCTACAACCTCTGTATGCCTATTATTTCCGCAACATTAAAAATTGCTATTTGCACTTAGTAAAATAGAAATGTATGTAACATTGATTCCAAAACTCCAGTGACAGCCAGAGAACAAGAATCAACATTACAATGGTGCTAATTATATTGCCCAGCCCATGTTTTTCCAAGATTAATTTAAAAATAAAATTTCTTTTAGAACCAGGAGTAGTAAGAACCTTGTAAGTCTAATGATGCATCTATTTACAGATTACTAAAGAATCCTTGCATATTTCATTGATAAGAGAACACTGACAAACATAAGTATAAGATAAAAAGACTAAAGATTCAACTAATAAGAAAAGCACAATATTTGTCACTAACAAGATAGTGTATCTGTCTGGACATTTCTCTAAATCTGTTAAATAGAATCTAATTTTTCACTATGAAAAAGGAAAACTAATCAGACAAAATGAGTATTTCCATTTGACCTAATATGCATCATATTTCTATGCATCGTTTGTCATATTCTCAGTTTTTCAGGTCTCTTATTGCAGATAAAGGCCCAAAGAAACTGGAGGGATGAAGTCAAAGTGTTTACAAGAACATGACATATAAGTATGGCCAAATATGAATGAGGACAAATAATATCTGTGAAAGATTCTTTAGTGCCTAAAGATTCTTTAGGACTCTGGCTGTCATAACGTGTTTCAGGATTCTGCTGGGATTTCCATCTGTGCTGTCTTTAAGTTTCAGGCGCTGAGTTATACAAGACATACGTGCCAATAGTGTAGGCTCCTTTCATGTGTTTCCTCACAGAGAAACTTAGCTTTTACGCATCACTCATCGAGTATGCTTATAGAAGCAAGTGGCCTTTAACAACAAAGTGCACTAAAAAGAATTGTCAAGGTTTTGTTACGCAGAGAAAATTTATGGAAAAAGAATAGGACAAATTCTTCAAAAAACCTTTCCAAGTTTACACAGTCACGATTTTCCCAGAAATAGTTCTAAGATTTTGTTATACTAGAATAAAAGTATATATCTCAAGAGTATAATTTCTAAAAATACGTTCCTAATGTCATCTGGCCATCAATATGCCATCATTACCAAAACAGAACTGCACCTTCTGTTTACCTGGGAAAGGGAAAAAAGCAGCTAACCAAGACGACCATCCAGAATCTCTAGGATCTCTCCATAAACAGACACCAGGATCACACTAAGAGGAACCAATCACCCAGTGAACTCAGTGCACCAGCAACTGTATCACTCAACTGGCCAGGAACATGCAATCAAGCAGCAAACCAGGGAACAGGAATTCAACTTAAAACAATCCTTTATTTTTGCACATTATTTATATTCTTCTTTCTTCTTCCCCTCTTACATAAGCTTCCCTCTTGGAGACAAACATCATTCAACAAACTGTGGGCACTGAAAGTCAGTTATCCTTCCTACCTGCCCTTAGATCTCAGAATGCAGACCCTCAAATAGAGCACCAAGTGTGAGGCTAAGATGTCAGACCTCCCCAAAAACATGCAACAAAGACAGAATATGCATCTTGTTCACTGTATGACTACTTCAATGCTTATTCTAAAGAGCAATAATTACCCCGGCTGTATGATGCTATACAAAATCCATCTTTTCAGTCAGTCTGTGTCTGTCTTCCTCTCTCTCACACTCCCTACCCCTCCCAGATATGCTCACTCATGCACAGCAATATAACAGCAGCAGTCACCTTTGAACCCCAGAGAACACAATATTTATAGATATTAAGATTTTTTTCAAGCACTAAATTCATTTCTAGGAATATTCTTTAACAACTGCATGAACAAATTCAAGTTGTTCAAAGAACATCAGGTGTGTACTGAGGTAGGCAGCAAGCAACGTACTAAATGGCACTAATAGAATTGAGGACAAAAATAAGGAATGTCATAGTACCTAAAAGAATAAAATACTTAGGAATAAATCTAACCAAGGACGTAAAAGACTTGTATGCTGAAAACTATAAAATTTCTAAAAGAAATTAAAGAAGACATAAATAAATGAAAAGACATCCCATGTTCATGAATTAGAAGACTTAATACTGTTAAGATGTCAATAGTACCCAAAGCAACCTACAGATTCAATGTAATCCCTTTCAAAATTCCAACAACAATTTTTGTAGAAATAGAAAAATCCATCCTCAAAAATCTCAAGGAACACCAAATAGCCAAAATAATTTTGAAAAAGAATAAAGTTAGAGGACTCATGGTCCTCAATTTCAAAATTTACTATAAAGATACAGTAATTAAAACAGTATGGTATTGGCACAAGGACAGATATACAGACCAATGGAATAAAATGGAGAGTACAGAAATAAACCTTTACATACATGGTCAATTGATTTCTGACAGGACTACCAAGAGCATTCAATGGTGCTAAGAAAACTGGATGTCCACATGCAAAATATTGAAGTTGAACCTTTACGTTACATCATATACAAAAATTAACATAAAATGGATCAAAGACCTAAACATAAGAGATAAAACCATAAAATTCTTAGAAGAAATCTTTATCATTGGATTTGGCAATGACTTCATGGATATAACATGAAAAGTACAGACCAAAAAAGAAAAAAAATAAACTGGACTTCATGAAAATTAGGCACTTTTGTGCATGAAAAAATCAAGAAAGCAAAAAGACAACATAGAGAATATTCATAAATATTTTCAAGTCACATGTATAGTAAGAATATATAAAGAACTCTTAAAACACAACAATAAAAAACCCCCACCTAAACATCTGTACCCCCATAATATGCTGAAATAAAAAAACAAAAAAAACCCAAAAGAACCCAATTTAAAAATGGGCAAATAAGATGCAGTGCTCATGTCTGTAATCCCAGCACTTTGGGAGGCTGAGGCAGGAAGATTACTTGAGCCCAGGAGTTTGAAACCAGCATGAGCAACATAGCGAGACCCTGTCTTACACACACACAAAAAAAGGAGAAAAATTAGCCAGGTGTAGTCATGCATGACTGTCTGTAGTCCCAACTGCTTGGGAGGCTGAAGCAGGATTGCTTGAACCCCAGAGTTTGAGGCTGCTGTGAGCTATGATGACACAACTGTACTCTAGCCTGGGCAGCAGAATGAGACCATGTCTCAGAAAAAAGAAAAGAAAAAGAAAAAAAAAAAAAAAAAAAATGAACAAAGGACTCAAATACAAATTTTTCCAAAGAAGAAAAATAAATGGCCAATAAGCACACGAGAAGATGCTCAACATCATTAGTCATTAGGAAAATGCAAATCAAAACCACAATGACATACCTCTTCATACCTACTAAGATGGCTACGATTAAAAAAAAAAACAGAAAATAACAAGTGTTGGCAAGGATGTGGAGAAACTGGATTCCTCATGTATTGCTGGAGGGAATGTAAAACAATGCACCCACTATGGAAAACAGTTCCGTGGTTTCTCAAAAGGTTAAACATAGAAATGCCATATGACCCAGAAATTCTATTCCTAGGTATATATCCAAAAGAATTAAAAGCAGGAACTTAAAGACATTTGAACACCAGTGTTCAGAGCAGCATTATTCACAATAACCAAAAGGCAGAATTAATACATAACAGATAAATGGATAAACAAAATATGGTGTGTATATATACTATGGATTATTATGCAATTATAAAAAGAAATGAAATTTTAATATGTGCTACAACATTGATGGACCCTGAAAACATTATGTTTAGAGAAATAAGCCAATACAAAAAGGCAGATATTGTATAATTTCACTTACGTGAGGTACCTAAAATAGCAAATTCATAGACACAGAAAGTAGAATAGAGATTACCAGGGCTGTGAGGGAGAGGGGAAGGGAGAGTTATTATTAGTAAGTACAGAGTGTGTGCTGGGAATAATGAAAAGCTTCTAGGTGTAGATAGTGGTGATGGTTACATAGTATTTTGAATGTCATAGTCATTTAATGCCAATAGACTTATACATCTATTAGTGGTTAAAAAGATAAATATTCTTACGCATATTTTACTAGAATAAAGAAAAAGTAATAAGAAGTTTCCCTGTGCACTTTCCCCCATTATGATTCTGTTTTGTTCACTGACCCAAAGCCCTGGCAACAGAAATAGAATATTAATCTTGAATTTTAAAATGGATCAGAATTAAGAAATGTGCCATGCATTAGCCTACCAGGTGTATTAGCTTTAGATTGTTTAACAGAACATTTCATCCAAAGTAAACACCTGTGTTCTATAAAAAAAATAACTGATTCTCTTCATAGGATATTTTGGGATCTCCAGCAATAAATTCTACACCCAGAAAATCCTCAAGCTTAAATAACTAGGAAATTTATGATTTATCATTAACTGAAAGGAAGATCACACAAAGGAGATGGTTTCTTCAGGACATTCTTGCAATCATTTTTCCCACAATGATAAACCTAGTTTATATTCAACAACTGCTATGAAGTTTATCTAAAAATACTTTTTCCTATTTCAAAGAACTAATAACTCCAAAGTAAATTCCTTTGGTTTTAATTTCTTTTTATATTAAAAGTAATTAATGAAATTCAACATTATTTTTATTTTTAATTAAAGTCTCTTACCCGTGCATAGAGATAATAGCTTTTCTGTAGATTCATCTTCTTGTTTTGTTATTACTGGGTTTTGTGACATTCTGACAGTTTTCTTATATCCTTTTTTGGCCTGATCCACCAGAAGCTGAAATTCATTCTGATGTTTTTTACCTGAAATTCAAAAGATCTTTTCGGTAAAGCTAGGACTATGAAGGTTAACCATCTACAACTGACAAACTGAATATCAAGAGATGTACAAGCATCCAGAGGCAGGAGGATCACTTGAGCCCAGGAGTTTGAGGTTGCAGTGAGCTATGATGCCACTACACTCTACACTCTAGCTGGGACAACAGAGTGAGATTCTGCCTCAAAAAAAAAAAAAAAAAGCATCCTTAGGAATTACTTGCAATAAATTTAAAAGCTGCCAAGCATAAGAATACAAAGCACTAGGACATGGAAGTGTCTCCTTTTTAACTTCTCCCTTCCTCAAATACAATCATGGAAACATGATATTCCTTGTTTGCTATTCTATGTTTCTTCCCAAACCTCATACTCTAGAGAAGCTTTTGATAGAGCATGAAAGATGCCACTTTCTTAAATATATCCAAAAATACCATTCTAACTTCCAAGATACACAAGAGTACTAGGATACGGAGTACTCATTGAATATAAAAAATAGAAGCGTCTAGGAAATTTGAGTCATAATAACAAAAGATATCCATTCCAATTCACCCTTTTTTCTTTACATTTCCTTCCTGTTTCCCAACAGAACTCCTTTATTTTAACATTCTAAGAACCCCCCCAGCCAATTCCGCATTATCTTAGGATATTATAATACATCAATCTTTATTTACTACTACCTTCATGCCTTTGAATATAATTTAATTAACCCTGGCCTCAAGGTCATTATTATTAACGTACACCAATTTACTCAATAAAGAGTAGCCAGTCATCAACAGCACATAGACTTTAGGGCATCTATTTGTGATTGTGAACCATGGTTCAGATAGCTGAGGTTGCAGTTTACTTATCTAGCAATCTTAAATATGTAAGTCATGGTTCAAGATAATGTCATAAATCCTGTAAAATTTTTAGAAAGAATCATACAGCAATTAATTAAAACAAAAATTTGAGACTGTTTTCATACAAAAACCAACAATATACATTTTATCATTCGGTTTCTTCCATTTTCCTTGTAGCACAATACTAAGGTACAGGGAATACACTGGGTAAAGGGGAAAATGTGTGCTTTAATTGAAAACTATGGCATTATCTAAAGCTGCCCTTCCAGGATTCTGGCTATTTGCTGCCTTTGAGCTATGGTACAACTCTGTGAGTTGTACAATAGAAAACTGAGAGCAATGGAAACTAATTCTTGTCTATACATATGCAAAATCCTGTCTGGTGAGGTTTAACTGACTTCCCTCTCCCACTATGGAAGAAGCCAGTTTTCCTCCATTTGCACATTCATTTCAATATTCCTCATCTATAAATGTGACTTTTCTTTGGATTGTCCTTTGGTTTTTTTTGGTTGTTTTTTTTTTGAGACAGAGTCTCACTCTTTAGCCCGGGCTAGAGTGAGTGCCGTGGCGTCAGCCTAGCTCACAGCAACCTCAAACTCCTGGGCTCAAGCGATCCTTCTGCCTCAGCCTCCCAAGTAGCTGGGACTACAGGCATGCGCCACCATGCCCGGCTAATTTTTTCTATATATTTTTAGTTGTCTGATTAATTTCTTTCTATTTTTGGTAGAGACGGGGTCTCGCTCTTGCTCAGGCTGGTTTCGAACTCCTGAGCTCAAACAATCCGCCCGCCTCGGCCTCCCAGAGTGCTAGGATTACAGGCGTGAGCCACCGAGCCTGGCCTAGACTGTCCTTTGAATACCTTTTAACATCTTATCAGTCCCCTAATTGTGAGTTTTAAAACATCCTTAATAAGAAAACATGGCTATTTTATATCTATGATAACATTTTACTTGCTTTTGAAAATTAGCTTTTAACATGGGAAGAGAGAGCACTAAATTATGAAGTACAACAAGAAAGAGAGGAGAGAAGTTGGATTCTATATTTATACATTGATAGGCACAGCAAAGACATTTGGGAAAGAATGCTCCTAATTCCAATATATTTATGTGTATGGTACATTTATGAAAACTCACAGTGAAACTAATGTGTTAGGTCATAAAATGTCTGGTAAATTTCAAGTAAGAGACTAGTTAAAATTTCAGCAAAAGATATATAAGCTGACTATAAAGATTACTGGAAAAATGGAGCTCTTTAGAAACGAGTAAAATCCTATCTAGGACACAAAGTAGGCGGTTTCTTTCAAGTCTTCTTTCACTCTGTGCAGTCGAGGATAATTATTAAATATCTTGTACTTCTTCAGCTCCCCAGAATCAATGGGCTAACACTACCGCCATCATTACATAGTTTCTGTTAGGCAAGGGTAACACAGTACTATGGAATCTACAAAATTTAGCTAGACTAGGTCTAGGCCATTTTCCCGTTAAGGCCACTGTACACGTAAATATTATGGATTTAAGAATTAGTCAAGAAACTTGCTAAAGTAATTGCATTAACAGTTAAGGAGGCCTAATGACTTTTATCTTATGAAGTAATAAAATCCCAGATTTAAAAGGGATTTTCTTTTTCTTTTAAAAATCTACTCACTCTACAGGTAGGCTGGAAACCGAAAGTAAATGGCAGTCACTGCTCTGGCTTTGGCAAAACAAGTCCAATAACTCCTGCTCAGAAAATGAACGATGCCAACAGATTATAACTAGTAAAATTGTTCCCACTTATCTCTTCACCTAATTTTAGGAGATTTGCCATGTGGCAAGGAGTACTCTAGAGTTTAAAGTCTCAGTCCTAGTGGATACATTTCCTGAATTTACCTCTTAAAAGTCTTAAGTGGCTCAGTTAGTTGTGGGAGATGATGATTAAGTACATGTTTAACCAACTCATATTCTTTAGGATTTTTAATACTTGAATCATACCAAACTTTCTGCCTCTTCAAGTTGAAATATAATCTTTTCTAGTGCCAAGTCAAGCCCTTCATTCCCGATCACCTTAACTTCTCTTCTTTAGACCAGCTCCTACAGCCAGTGTCTCCTGGTCTGTCCCTGAACCCAGTGGTGCACAAGACCAAAACCAGGCTCTCCCATGAGTGGCACAGACTCACGCCCCTCTACAGTGATGCCACTAAGATACTTACTCTGCCGTTAACAGTAATGGCTAACTTTCACTAAGGGCTTATTCATTTAGCTCTGAACTAGCTCCTTTAAATTCATGATCATAAACCTCAAATGGGCATTCGACACTGCTATACAACTCTACATTTCTCTAGTAAAGTTTGCTTTACTATTCTCCAAAACGACCATCTTACCCTTTCTCTTCTTTATTCAAATCTTCAGTACTCTTGTCATGGCCCCCTCTTAGCTGGCCTCACGCTACTTTGAAAAATACAGAATCATTCTAACAGGAACACTGTCATCTTCCAACCACCATTACATCTTGCCTCTGCACTTACGATCTATCTTCCTTGCTGTTACCATGAAACAACAGTCCTTACAGCAATTAAAGACTGCCCCCTAACTTACTCTCTGGATTCTACAGAGAAGGCCTCTCAAAGACAGACTGTTGTTTTTGAAACGGAGAGTGTGGATTATGAAAACAACTCAATAAGCACGGACTGGCATATTTTTCTTAATGAAATAATAAAGAAAGAAAACAGAAAGTGCCAGAGTGCATTAAAAATGAAAAAGGTAAATATGTTTTGTGATACTTTTGTTTCAGTAATATGTGTGTGTGTAGTTAGTAGTGATATAAAATGTATTTGTCACTGTGGGTTGCATCGAAAAGGTCTGAAAGTCGCTGAGTTAAGTATTTCCCAACTTAAAAAACAAACGTAAAAAAATAAATAAATAAACAAAACTCTCCCTTGACCCAATGCCCACCTCTGGCTATAACTTCATTTTTCTGCTCTCCTTGACACAGTAACACTTCTCCCAAAGAGCTGCCTACCTTAATGATCTCACTTCCTCGCCTCCAATTTGGTCTCAATCAACTCTAAGCACTTCTGAGCTTCCTCTCTAATTAAACCTCTTCTCAAGGTTTGCTGCCTATGAGCTGTGAAATCCACTGGTTCCTTCTCTCTCCTTTTACACCACCTTTCACAACATTTGACACAAGGCATGATTTCCCCTTTCTTGACACATTCTCTTTATCTAGATCTTCTGATGCCACGTTTCTCAAGTTTTCCTATCTCATGGCCATTCATTTTGCTGGCTCCTCCTCCTCTGGTCATCTTCTACACGCTCAAACAGCAGATTTCCAAGTGCAGTGGCTGACTGCTAAGGATCCCTGAGGGTTCTCATCTCAGGGCTCCTTAGCAGATGAGGTAAAATCTACTGTCACAGTTATACTAAAAAGTTGGCTTTTTTTGCTACGTTGACATATGCACTGTAGGATGAGTACCTGAGGAAGCACTTGTTTGAGCTGTGGCTCAAGTACTCATCGTACTTTGGTACACATCAGAACTTTATTTGTAGC